CCCCAGGGCCGCCACTTCCTGTGGCCGGGCCTCCCCGCCAGGCCTGGCTGCGCTCCTGGGGAGCCTTCCTCCGCACCTGGGCTCCGGCTGTGGGAAAACGCCGTCCCGAGAGGGGCCAAGTGGGACTCTGGGGCCTCGCAGCCAGCGAAGGAGGGCCGGGGGGCCTCCAGGGAGCCCGTGAGGTGGGGTCCGCCCAGCAATCAGTGCAAGTCCTGGCTCTCGTGGCCCGGGAGCGCCTTGCATGGAGCCTCAGTGGGCCTTCCTGGGCCCGGCGCTGCCCACAAGCCGGTGGCACCAAGATGTCCTGGTGGAGCAGGTGAGGGGAAAGCCAGCATCCCTGGGCACTGTCTGGGTGGACGTCCCAGGCGGGAGGGCGCCCAGCTCGGATCCCACCCAAAACCCCAGCTCACCCACAGAACCTGATTTGGTGCCAGCAGCACTGTGCCTTCTTGGGGGCTGATTTAAGATTCCCCTGAGCCTTTCTTGGCCAGGCCTTTTACCGGGGTTGTTTTCAGTCTGGGCACATTTCCCAGCTCTGGACAGCAACATTTAAGGGGTTGGGTGTTTTGGGACAAGGGAGAGGCCTTATTGCCCCTTCTCCTTACTGCTTCCTCTTTGGAGACAATGCCAGGAGCTTCTGCAGCCATCTTGTGGCCACGAAGAGCAAGTTAAGAGAGGAATTGAGATGTCCCTGAACTCACAAGGACACCAGTTCCTTCCTGTCTCCTGGCCTCAAGGGCCCTTATAATGAGAAATAATGCCTGCCCTACTTAAGATACTCTGATACTTGCAACCAGACACTTGAAGTTATCCCTGTGGCAAGCTGGAATGTCTCCATCATATGTGAATCAGGATTTTTGTTTGCAAGGAACGGGCCAATGTAAGTAGCCCAAGCATGTGCTAGAAAACTGCTATCTCACAGTAGGGGCAGGACAGTTGGGTAGCACACAGAGGCATCAGAGTTGCACTGGGTGGTGCACATCTGTACTCCCAGGTACTCAGGAGACTGAGGCAGGAGGATCGAAAGTTCGAGGCCAGCCTGGGCAACTTTGTGGGATCCTGTCTCAAAATGAAGATCATAAAGGGCTGAGGTGTGGCTCAGTGGCAGAGCACTTGGCAAGCACTGGGGATTCAGTCCCCAGCAGTAGAGGAGAAGGAAGAAGAGTAAAAAAAAAAGTCAGGGCACTTCCTATGGGCAGGTAGGTGGGGCTGTGGCATCTTGGGCCCTGGGATTGCACCCAGGGCCTTCACACTGAGCTATATCCCCAGTCCTATTATTTCTCTTCTTTCTATTGTTGATTGATTGATTGAGATGATGTCTGGCTATATAGTTCGGGCCAGGCTCCATCCTCCTGCCTCAGCCTCTGGAGTGCTGGGATTAACAGGTGTGTGCCACGCCATATCTGACTTTTTTCTTTTACATTTTTAGACAGGCTCTTGGTAAGTTGCCCAGCATAGGCTCTGACTTACAACCCTCCTGATTCAGCCTCCTGGATTTCTGGGATTTTATGTGTGCATCACCAAGCTGGGCTTGTTTTTGTTTCTGTTTTTTGGTGGTGCTGGGAACCAGGCAAACGCTCCTTCCAGAGCCTCGGTGTGTCCCATGCTCCCTGATAGAGGCCTGATGTGGGAGCCAGGGGCAGACCTGGGGTGGTTTACATGGTCCAGCTCCTGTGGCCCCAGCTCACCTCCACACAATGTGGGTACCCCAGAGAGACCACTATCTCTTATAAGGAGAATCAGGAAAGCGGCATGAAACTTAAACCTCCAAGTGGTGCTTTGCTTCCCTAGTGGCTGCCAAGCTGAGTGCTTTGGACACGTTATCTGTTTAATCTTCGTGAAAGCCTGCTCGAACAAGTGCTACTTTCTACATTTAGTGGGTGAGGACAGCAAGGTTTGGGAGGACAATGGATGAGGTCTCGCCTGCGTTTTGGGTTCTCCATAATGTGCCTTAGAGGCCTGCTGGGGTGCAGGTGCAGGGGAAAGGGCCATCCAAGGAGCAGGGTGAACCATGCAAAGGTCCTGGGGCAGGGTGCAGCAAGGCTGGGGTGGAGGGAGTGAGCCACAGGAGGTGGGGTGCTGTTGGGGATGTTGGCAGGAACAGAAGAGGCAGCTTGAGCTACAATGCAGAGGAGACAAAACTAGATCCAGATGTGGTTTGTAAAATGCACTCCAAAACTCAAGGGAAGCTCTTTAGTGCTTGAACTCTCCTGGCCATCTGGGTACAGGGCCAGCCAGAGAGTGAGGCAGGGCTGGTAGGCCAACGTGGAGGGACCCAGTTCTCCTTGGACACCAGGTTTGACTTCTGGAAGGGGGACATTTGAGGTGGGCTTTAAAAGATGAGCAGGAGTTTCTCAGACAAACTCATTTAGCGAACCCTATGCCTTGGGAAATAAAACAAGCTCAGATGGGTATAAAGCAAGCCCCCAGGTTCTCAGACCCTTTTGGGAAGAGGGAAAAGAAGGGGAAAACATTGCCAGCCTCTAAGCTTGGCTCAGTCCACAGGGAGGAGACAGGATCCCAGAGAGTGCTGTGTTCCAGGTTATGGGGTAGGGGAGGCCTGGCTGATGGCAAGGTGCCAGGCACAAAACGGCAGCAGCCCATACAGAGGGAATGGTGCTCGGAGACCTGCAGGGGAGCAGCTAGGGGTGCAGGTGGATGAGGGCCCAGGGTGGGGACGCAGCTCCCGTGGGTGGTGAGAGTGGGCTCCACCCGGCTCACAGAGACCACAGGCTGATCGGCCACTCCGAGCAGCCCTGACTTCCTGTGAGGAAGGAGAGGGAAGGAGGAAGTGGGACCCTCAGGCCTGGATTCTGTCCCTGTCCCTCCTCCCCCGGCCTGGGGTCGGCAGAGCAGGAGGAGAGCCCGGGTCAGTGTCCTGGCGTCACGCGGTGAGCAGCTGGCCCTTCTGCTGACCACTGACATGTCCCAGCGGCCCTGGTGACCCCAGTGGGGTGAGGAGAGATGCTTCGGCCTCTCGTTTCTTTTTCTTTTGAGACAGGGTCTTTCTTGCTAAGTTGCCAGGCTGGGCCTGAGTTTGGTGACCCTCCTGCCTCAGTGGCCGGAGTAGCTGGGATCACAGGTGTGCATCACCTTGTCTGTCAGACACTTCTGGGCCAGGTGGGTGACATGAATGAACTTCATTTAAACCTCTTCCCGGTGTGGGAAAGAAGTTGAGCTGTGCAGTCAGGCTGAGGCCCAGTCCTAGCTCCTGGACTTGCTTAATTTGCTCTGAGCAGTCACTGTCCCTATGCCTTTCCCTGTGTCCTCTCTGACCTCACAGGGGTGGCCAGGACCGGAAGCCCCATATGCAGCACGCCCATCCTAACCCCGGACTCATTGAAGCTGTGGTCCTAGTGCCAGGGTGAGGAAATGAATGTCAACTAAATTGAACTCAGCAAGGGAATAAATTTCTGGCTTATAACTGAAGAGGCAAGCAGTGGTGAAGAGCTGCAGGAATAGCTTGATCCAGAGGCTCAAATGACATCTGCCACTTGTTTTTTTCTTTTCTTTTCTTTTCTTTTCTTTTCTTTTCTTTTCTTTTCTTTTCTTTTTACAGTATGGGGATGAAGTGCAGGACCTCGCACATGCTAGGCAAATGTTTCACCACTGAGCTACCTCCCCAGCCCTTATTTATTTTTGTGGTGTTAAAACGATTGAACCCAGGGCCTTCACAATGATCCACTTTTCCAGGTCCTCCTCCCCATTTTTTTATTTCGAGACAGTATCCCACTAAGTCGCTAAATCGCTCAAGCTAGGCTCAAACGTGTAATCCTCCCGCCTCAGCCTTCTGAGTGCTGGGATGACACGTGTGTGCCACCATACTTATTTTTATTTTTTGTTTTGAGAGGAGGTCTTGCTAAATTGCCCAGTACTTGCTACGACTTTTTTATTTTTTTCAAGCC